AAACCCGAAATAGAAACCCGGAAGTCTCCATAAAAAACCCGATATTATTTTTTCTTTTAAATTTTTTTAACAGATGGACATTATACTTCCCTAATATTTGTACAGAATCGTAGATCGGAACGAGTATTAGCCCAATAGTTATTGTAATTTATAAGTTGTATGGCTTAAATCATATAGTATAGTGTTGTGATGATTTAATTGACGATTAAATTAAAACCCGTCCATATAATAATATTTTGTTTGCAAAAATAATTAAAATATAGACAAAGCATTATTGAAATCTTTTATTCCTCCTTGTGTTATTTTAATTTTTTTGCAAAGAAAATATTTTTATATTGATGGGTTTTAATTTAATCGTCAACATATTTCATTAAATCATCATAACACTGTATACCAAATATGTAGTAATTAATTTTTTATAAAGGGTCAATATGCTAAAAAAATAACATTAAAACTAAAATCCTATTAAAACCCGACTATTTTGAGTTTTTGAAAAAAGAAGTTCATCATATAGTAATGTATTCATTTATAAACTCAAAACTCTATAATTTGTGAAAAGGAATAATTAATAAGGTTTTGTAAAGGGTAATACAGTAACAACTGTGATAAAAAAAGCTTACCCTAAGGATGGGCCTTCACCCTCAAAAAAATAAAATTCAATCTAAAATTTTTTACCTGACAACGTATACGTTATAATATTAGATGAGTTATTCCATGGATGATACAAGTTAATTCTAGCATATCGAAAGAATACTAAAAAAAATAGCTACACATGTTCAGATTTTATTATTAGCCTAGCTGTTAAATAATATACTCTTGTAGGATTTAATCCTTGAATTATATCTATATTCAACCGTATGGCGATTTTTTTAAGTATTTAAACATTTTAGATTATGGAAATAGATGTCATCATTATAGAATATATGATACTTTAATTTCGGGTGTTGTTTCAGCTATCTGACACAAAATTTACACTAAGTTATATCTATTATATTGGCAAATCTAACCCCCCCCCCTCCCCATATTTCTAGAAGCCTGACCAACTGTTTTCATTGGGTAACTTTCTCAAACCATGCTTTGTCAAAATTATTTATAAATATCAAATTACTCATTGTTCATATCATAATATAAGCAACAAATAAATGGATCATATTCGGAGAAAACATAGAAATTAGCTATATTGGCATAAAAACATATTTTTATTGAACCACTGACATTTATGAATGCACACTAGTGAAGGTCAACGGTCCGGTCCCGGTCTATTTTTTATTTTTTACGGTCCAGACCGGTCTTTTATTAATATTTAAGTTTACTTTACTATTCAATTAATATAATTTTTTTGTATATTTTATTTTATGATATTTTTCTAGAGGAGTTGTTTTAGATTTTGTTAATTTTTTTTTTACAATATGAAAACCATAAGTTTGTCCAAGAAACATTTTACTTATAGTCCTAATAAAAAACATAGAATATGTGTTTACTGTAATACCAAATTTAACATATCGTCAGCAACAAGTGACAAAATAATTGTTTATAATTTTTTAAGCAATAAACTAATCAAAATAAGCAGTATTATTATTAAAATATTTTGGTTTGTCTGAATAATTCATTGTCAAAATAATTTAACCTTATTCTTAATAAAATAATTAGGAACCTTAAGCAGACATTTGATAAAACATAAAATTTATACTTCTAATAATGAAAATGAAAATATCTCAAAAACACAATCTACTCTTAATTTAAATATGCCCTCCACAAGTACAAAATCACTTTCTTCAATACCATTGGATAAATTCCAAACAGATCATATGAACCAATTCATTATAAAATGGGTAATAATGGACTCTCTGCCAATAAAGGCGCGCGCCGAAAAAAATCCGCTATCTGCCAATGAAGACTTTTGAAAGTTCAGGTCTTCATAATTTAATCAAATATTTAAGCTCAACTGCTACAATTTGGTCAAAACACAAAGTTAAAAATTTTTATACAGCTAATTTTGAGAAACTAAGAAATTCTCTAAAAGATTTTTTAAATAAAAATAATTCTTTAATAAGCTTTACCACAGATATGTGGAGCAATATAAATAAAATTTCATTTATAGCCATTACTGCACACTATTGATTCTTCTTTTACATTAAAAAATATTTTACTTGATATAAATCATATCCCATTTCCTCATACTTCTGAAGAAATATCCTTAGCTATAAAAGAAGTAATTGATGTATATCAATTGGAGGAGAATATACTGGCCTGTACTACAGATAATGCCAATAACATCCTAAAAAGCATGGATATTTTGAAGAATATTTATAAGGAACAAAATTTAAAGGCTTTAGATGCTGTGCCCATATTCTAAACCTAATATCTCAGGAAGGTTTATCATATATTACCACTATCCTAGAAAAGTGTAGAGACATACCCTTTTCTATAAATAAATCACCAAAAATAAATCAAGCATATGTACAAATATGTGAAAATAAGGGTATTACAAAATTTAAAATCCCTTCTGATATCCCTATTAGATGGAATAGCTCCTATTTAATGATGAATACAATTTATGAGGTATTTACATTTTTATCAATTATTTTTAAAAAATATTTAATTTTTAGAACATGGATGCTATAGAAGAAGTACTTTTTTTGAATTACAAAAAATTTAAAGGGGTTTTTCTTTACTGAGTGTGAAAAAGAAGACCTTAAAGAGGCTTTAGATTTTCTAAGGTCCTTTTATAAAACCACACTTGATTTATAAGGATCCAAATATCCTACAGTTGAGATATCCATGTTATATATGGAGAATATAAATAATGAAATTTTAAATAATATAAAAAAGGATAATAACAATACAAGAAAAGAAATTCTTAATAACATGCTGGTTAAAATGCAGAAATATCTCAAAGAATTATTTTGCTATGAATCATATGTCTCAACATTATTGGATCCAAGATTAAAACAAGTTTACATGCCTAATACTCTTAATAGAATTGAGTATATGACCAAATTTTCAAAATATTTAAGGAAAATAGAAAATAAAAAAATACAGGAATAACGGATTCTCAGGTATATTTTTAATATTTATTTATTAAATCCTAATTTTCAAACATTTGTGCCAGGAGGAAATCAATGATTTTTGTTTTTTAGAAAGAATTTATCCCAAAAAAGAAATTCAGAAGGGGATTATATATCGGCAGAAATCATTGAAGAAAATATATCAGAACTTCACACCTATTTGAATGAACCTCTTGTTTCATTAAAGGATGACATATTAATATGGTGAAAAGCCAATAGTGAAAGGTCTTTTATATTTTTTAAATACTCAATATAGTTTATTATATAGATTCCCAGTCCTCTCATTAGCAGCTAGAAATTTTTTAGCAATTCAAGCAACATCTGTCCCCTGTGAACAAATATTTTCAAAAGCAGGAGATCTTGTCACTAAAAAAAGGAATAGGCTTTCAAACAAAACAATACAAGCTTTGATGTATATGGGCTCTTGGTTAAAGGATGGAATAGATCTACCGCCTCCATTAAGTCCCTCTTCTAATTCCTTCCAAGAAAGTTCTACAAACAAAGACATTAGCATTTATTTAAATTAAATATTTGTATTAATTATTATATTATTCATAATTAATTTTATATTGTTTATATAATACTCTTATATTTAATAAAATGATAAAACAAATTAAATTAGGTTAAAAAAAATATGTTTTTTAAACAAATAAAAAGACCGGTCCTGGACCGGTCTTTTTATTTAGGATCACGGTCTGGATCGATCTTTTTTAAAGGACCGTGGTCCGGTCCGGTCCGGTCCGAGGGTATCGGTCCAGTCAGGACCAAAGACCGGACCGTGACCTTCACTAATGCACACAGATTTTTAAAAAAAATATCAAAATTTGTTAAATATTATAATCAATAGATTATAAAACTGAAGCTAACTATATTTTCAAGGGAATAATGGAAAAGAATTTAAATAAAGAACACACTGTGATATCTACATCTTTTTTAATCTGAATGTTAATCAGTAATCAAATTGTTAATGAAGTATGTAACTTTCATTTATAATATATTCATATATTTTGGAAACCTAATAAGTTAAACAACAATTTTTATTTAAATCATTATATTATTTACATATATTTCAAAATAAAATAAAAATATTTTCATTTATTAATAAAAATTTTATTATATTAAATATTATAGTTATTCAGTGGCTTAGCTAGGAATTTTCCTTAAAGGGGGCCCATACATATATGTACCTTTAAAGGGACTTCGGCCCTCCCCGGCCTTAGACCGGGTTTATCTTAAAAATCATATTTGTTTTTCTTATAATATAAAAGTTCTAGAATTAATGATCATTTTAATTAGTGATAATATAAAGCAACAATAATATGTAATTATAATTTAATAAATTATTCTCAATGACTTTATAATAATACTATCCAGAATGATTTCAATAGTAATATAATATCCTTCCACAAACATCAACCAGAAAAATATAAATATTCAAAATATTTATTTTTAAAGTAACTTTTGAGTCTTTTGAACGTATAATCTAAAAAAAAATTTCTCTGTGGGAGGGGGGTCTCAACCCGATAACTACCACCCGTAGCTACGCCTATTAATAAATTGTTTTTTGTTTTGTTATTTTCAAAAATTATGTTTTATTTAAATACATTGATCGGGATTAAAATAAATGAAGGATGGGAGTCTAACATATTTTTGGGAAAATCCAACACCTATGATGAGAAGAATGTTAAATACGGAAATACTTAACTTTTTTTTATGTAAAATTCCTGAAAGGCCAGGAATTCCAAATGATAAAACTTTTAAGATGGAAACGTTAATTATAATAATAGTATTTAGAGTTATAATATGAAGAAATATATGGTATTATATAATTAATAAAAAAATGTGTATTATAATCTCTTTATGGTTGTCGTGTAGTACAAGCTTTTAAAAAGCGTAGATAGTTACACTGATGCAGCTCTAGCATATTTCAATGAATAAAAATTCGGGAATTTAGAGAATTATGAGATACAATGAAAATCTGCCTTTAGATTCAAAGAAAACTTCTTATAAATTTCCTAAAAATTTACTTTATATAATTTTTGGCATACTCACATTTAGTGGAATAGTCACAGTAGCATTAATTTCGAATATTTTATTAGGAAAACATCAAGTAATTTGGATAGTTATTTTATTTATATATCAATTAATAACTTATTTTAATTAGCAATATTTTTTTTAAACTTAATTGTTTTTCCTATTTTTTACTTGCATAATTTTGTTAACAAAAAGAATAATTAATAAAATATTGTAGGTTCAATCTCATGGAGCAGTCTCTAGTGATGTTAAAGTATGTTCTGAAATAGGTGTAGAACAGATGAAAAAGAAAGGAACTGCTGTTGATGCTGCAATTGCAACTATGTTTTGTTTAGGTGTGGTTAATAGTGGGCATTCTGGAATTGGAGGGTTTATAAATAGAAATAATTTTATAATTATGCTTATGATTATATTTTAAATTACTTCACTTTAATTTTCTTGTTTCTTAAACAAAAAGTCTTCATCTTGTACATTAAAAATTGCTTGGTATATGATTTAAAAGATAATTATAGTAAGATTTATAAATGTATGCTAATTTTGATATTTTTTTAAAAAAAAATAACTTTGGATAAATTTAATTTTAGAGAAATATTATATAGCATATATTTTTTAAATTTTTATAAAATTACATATTCTAATTAATCTAGTATATAAATATGATGTGACAAATAAGTTAAATAAAAGTATTAATTGATACACTATACTAATAAATAAAAATACTTTATTTTTTTTAAAATAAATAAAATAAACCTCTGTGCCAAAGTCTAATCAGTGGCTGCAGTTTTTAACACTTTTCATCAGTGCATTGAATTAGCCATCACCTAATAAATGGCATTGGTGGTGTTATATAATTTAAAAATAAATTTAATTTATAATTTAATATTCCATATTTTTATCATTTATTTGGGCACTTTTATCTGTAATTTTCATTTATTTTGATTAAATCAATGTATAAACTTGGAATATAAACATATAAAGTAAGAAAATTGTCGGTCAAGAATTGGAGTGCTCCACTTGCGTAAATGTTTAAAATGAGAAAATCAACATTAAAATTTAAAATAAAGTATAGGAAAAAGTTATTGATTAATTTTGACAATAACTTTGGCAAAAATTAATATTTTTTAACCTAGTTTTTATTTATATATATATTGGAAATAAATAAGTTATTATCCACTTTTAACTCAATAATTTTGAATGTTTAAAATGAGAAAATCAACATTAAAGTTTAAAATAAAATACAGGAAAAAGTTATTGATCAATTTAACTTTGGCAAAAATTAATATTTTTTAATCTAGTTTTTATTTTTACATTTATTGAGCATAAATAAGTTATTATCCACTTCTAACTCAAAAATTTTGAAAATGTCTAGTGGAGCCAATTCCAGACAGATGAAATATAAATAAATTAGAAGTTGAATTTAGTGAAATTATAAATATAGTGAATAAATATTAATAGAGATTGATGGGCCATTGAGATGTTCTTTTGACATTGGAGATGGAAAGGATTCATTAACTAAGTGTACTAGTTGCAGGCATACAAAATACATTCCAAGATAAATTAGCAAGTCTAGAAAGTTTTATTAGCCTTTCCCAAAAGGTTAGTACATCATATTTTGTTATAGTATTATAACAAGTAAAATGTGGCATTCTTGTTCTAGATTACTAACTTGATTCTCAATCTCTGCAAATGCTCTATAAGTTTTAAATGTCTAATTATACATTGTGGAATTAAATATTCTGAAAGAATTTTAAGATTTTGAAATCTTGTATTAAGTAGTGTTGTAAATATCGAATGTTCAAAATATTTTAAATATAAAATTATTATATAAAATAAATTATTTGCAGTTCAATAATTTTAAACCCTATGATCAAGCTTTTTGCATATTTTATTTTACACAAATGATATATTATCTATCAGATTCTATGATGATGGCTGATCTATCAGATACATTAATGATGTCTGTTTATTGTTGTTATATAGAATTTTAAAATGGCAACATAATATTTTAGTCAAAAAATATTACATACTAAAGAGTTTGTTCATATATAATAACATTTTGATATCTATTAATGTAATCTTCAGGCATTGTATATTATTTTGGCTAAATCAAGCTGTTTAATAACAGTATGTCTGCTCTATCAGATCATTGTTGATATCTGAACTATCAGATTCATTGATTTGCATATTTGTTTCTGTTTCTCTTAACCTAAATTAATTGTTGATACCTTTTTGGAGGAAATAAATTTTGTAAACTCTCTAAATGCATTTAGTAATGTGAATAGTTTGTCCTTAATCCCATTCTTTGTTGAAAGTTTTAAAGTTTATTAGAGAGAGTTCTTATTTCAAAATTGTATAAAGGGTGGTTTAAAACCTATAGGTCCATTAAAATAAATATGAAAGTAATAAAAGTATTATGTTTATGTAATTAAAATATAAAATAGAATGTATAAAATAGCATTGGGTAGGGCCAGACCTATTTTTAAAAAAATTGGGTTGGGCCTTATATTTTAAGAATAATGGGCTACCAGATGTCAGAGAAAACTATTGTTGCAATAAAATTATAAAAAAAATGTCATTCTAATCAACAAAAATTACGAAGATAATCTAAATGAATATTTAATAAGTTGTGGTAATCATCATTTTTGAACATGCTCCCAGTGGACTTTTAGCATTTTTTACATTTAGTTTTTGAATATATTGTGGACACATTAATAATATAACAGCTCAGGAATATAAACTTGAAATTTTAATAAGTGATTGAATATAGCAAATAGATCCCCTGGCCCCAGTTGATAAGCTAAGAATAAAATATATTTATAAGTTAAAAACATTCTTATATAATCAAAGTGATAATTTAAAAAAAAATTAAAATAATTGAAATAAAAATGTGCTAAAAAAAATAATAAAATACATAATTTATTTTTATAAGGATATGAATTTGAAATTAAAAATAAATTTAAAAAAGAATCTAACAATTTTATTGGTCATGTATTGACTAGATGTGATCCTACTTTCTACATGATAAAAAGATTTTTGGGACAAAAAAAATATCACTTATTTTATAAATAAATTGATATATCAATATCTGGAATTAACTTCAAACACATTAATTTTGTCAAATATATCCTTTAGTTTAATTATTATAAAATTATAGGAGATTTTATGATCCAAAATGCGTCAAGCTTATATGGCACAAAATTTTTTTTGAACTATAATGCCAAATATATTGGTCGGTGATGACATTCTTTCTGGAGTTAACACCTTGTATTAGAACATTCATTTATGTAACCTCATTTGTGGAAACAAATATAGGAATTAGAAAAAAGGCTAAAAATAAAAGAATTAATTTTTGTTATAATGTTCCTAATACAGCATATGGCTAAAAGTCTGAAATATTACCCTTTAAAATGACTATTGAGACTAAAATTGAAAGTTTTATTAATATATTTTAGTTAAATATAGTCTGACGGGGATAGATAGCTAAGCTAAAATAGCTTTTTCTCACTCATCGCATATACAAGGTTCTATTTCCACTTTTTTAAAATCACTTTTTTGCACTTTTCTATATATATTAATATTATTAAATAATTTTTTTTATAGTTTTCGTAAACGGAACTCGTGATTAATGAAATAATAATAACAAATGTTTAAAGAAATAGCCAAAAAAAATTAACAACAATGCTTATAGATAACATAAAAAATGATGAATTTCTCATTATGAAAAGAGAATGAAAATAATAAATGAAATATAAAAAAACAGATTAAACAAGGAAATGGTCATTTAACACCACCCGGACTAATTTAATCTGGAGAATTACATTTAAATTTGCTGGTATGCTTAAAGCCAGGGAGCAGAACCGTTTCCAGTTCTTAGTTTTTAAAATGGGTTAGTTTCCGGGTTGGACATTCATATCGATTTATTCGGTTCGTTCATTGTGGATTATTTGTATATTTTTTAACCTATAATAATAATCTTTTTAAAAATATTTTATGCGTCACAAACCGATTAGAAAGTATTTATAACGGTTTGTTGTTGGGTTCAATACCCTGATTAAAACTATCCCTGAAAGCATTATATTGACTTATTTTTTTAAAAAAATGTTTAACAAAATATAAGGTTTTATCCCCTTGTACGATCTCTAATTAAAATTAGATTCGATTTGTTAAAGGTTTTGGGTTATCGAAAAATAAATATATATTTTTTTGGTGAAGATAGTTTATTCTTTTTAAGGCCATTAGAAGTCTGGTTATTAACATGATATTATAAAGTATCGTCTATATATTTGGAAACCCTAATTATATTTATCTAAACCGTAGCCTATCTTGGGTGGTCAGTAACGTTATTTAAACATCTATTGCTTTTTTTTGGTATATTAACATATATGTTTTTTTTCTCTATTGATCACAAGGTTTACCTTTGTGTTTTTCTTAAAAAAAATTTATAAATATGTAAAAAACATAAAATAATAAAAATAATCTATTTTGCCTTTATATCGTTATAAAAAACGATTACCAATTTGGACGTTCGTTATTTGATAATTACAGCAAAACGCTTAAATTTGTAAGCACTGTAAATATCTTCCTTTTTTTTAATGAAGAACCAATCATTTAATTTTTTTTAAATTCTAGCGGAGGCTTTATGTTGATATATTCTCATGTAACAAATGAATCTCACGCTATAGATTTTCGAGAGACTTTACCCTTTAGCGTTAGTGATCCTTCTATTAATGAAGTTAATATTTTATTATTATTATATAAAAATGTAGTTTAAAAAAAGAAGTAATATTTTGAATGAAACTACGATCCGGTCTTTGGACCCGATCGGAATAACATTTAAAAACTAATTGATCGCGGTTCTTATCCGGCTTGATTCAATTTTTATAGAACCGGCTTATTGGCAATAAGTAATAGACAAAAATGAAAGAACTAATTTTGTTTTAAAAATATATACCAAGTTTATTATTTCAATCATTAACGCAGGGCACCTCTATAGGCGTTCCAGGTGAAGTTAAAGGAATGTATTTGGCGCATAAATTATATGGAAAGTAATTATTATTTTTGTTTACTTTTTTATAAATATATATTATTATACATTTCATCATGAATTAGGAATAATTTGTTCTATTAGGGATCCCAACTATAACTAATATATCGGTTTAGATATAGGGGTCAGGTTCTGTTCACAAAAAATTATAATATCGTGTCTGTTTTTTGCATTACAAATGTTTCTATATAAAAAAAAATAAACTACTTATTAAAGATTGAAAAGGGCAATTATATTTACGCCTGAAATGCCGTCGATTGAGATGAGCGACGTGGACAGGCTCGCAGCCGATTGTTTTTATGGCGGCTGCATGGCGTGCATAATTTGTAGAATGCAATTATTATTTAAATTTTAATATTAACATTAATAAAATTAAAATATGAATTGTATTCTATTGGCATATAGTAAAATAGTGTATACCATTTACATTCATATTCATACATCATATTTCAAAATTACACAAACATTATTACATATCAAAATTTTTTATACACGTTTTAAACCACCCTAGTTTGTTTATTGCCAACTATAATTGATTAAGTATCTTTTTAATGTATAAACTTAATATATAACTGATTTATTATATAAAACTTTATTTTGAAAGTTCAAAAATTTGTTTCTTTTGCTCTAATTATTTTGATTAAATATCTTTTCAATGTTTATAAAATTATAAAATCTAAAGGGTGAAATTATGTTTTGATGTGATGCTTAGATTTAATGCCATTTTATTCTATAAACAATAAAGAAATAACTGATTTTCTAAAAGTTTGAAATTTAAATAAAATGATTATTAAATAAAAAATAAATTGTCTAAAAAAATAGAAATATGATAGTTGATTCCTCGTCAGAATTGCCTGATTTGATAACCATTATCGGGGTGCACTAGATTATGTTTATTTATCTATAAAGGCGCATGTTTTAAATATGATTGATTCTGGATCAAAATTCTGTTCTATCAATTTTATGGACAGATCATTTCAAGCATCGAAATTATATCATATTTAGTCTTCATCATTTAAATGGCAACAACATGACGCAAAAGCATACTGTGAAACCATATTATCTAAGATCAATATAAATGAGGAATTTCATTTAAAAAACCAAATAATACAGATGGTAACCGATGCGAATGCCAAAAGAAGCTTCAGATTGGGAGATTATGAGCATAATTTATGCTTAGAGCATAGACTTCATAATTTAGTTACAGTTGATGGAATAAAAAAAGTTGCTAGAATTAATATTCTGATTAAAAAAATTAGAGAAGTCATTTCAGTTTTCAGATATCGAGTAGATGATTGGAATGTGAAATTGAATTTTAAATGCCTGCAATCAATTTATGAGACAGGCCATATTTTGGATATCGATGATTCTGAATCGATATCTTGATGAACATTTTCATATCTCTGGTGAGGCTGATAATATAAATTGCATTGCACGCCTTACTTAATGGCACAACATTTGCTAGAAAGTGTCCATAGTGTTCAATATTCCTATAAATAATGTTCTAATTAAAATACGAAAACAATATTCAAAACCTTTTAATAATGAATGGATATAATTAGCGAACTTTACACATTATTAAATCCACAGAGAGTCTGTGGAATTTCTTCCCTTCTAAAATGGATTAACAATAAATTTAAGATTATTATTTCTCAGTGAAATAGAAACACATATACAAATCAATAAATCTGATCGCTCAGATATCATTTGCCTAAAAAAAATATTCAAAAAAAAGCTAACCATTAGTTTCCAATTACCAAACTTATTTATTTTATATAATATTTTTATTAATAAAATTATATTTTAAACATTAGATATTAGCGACATTACTTGATCCGAGATTTCAAGATCTTAAAATTGTTTCAGAGTATATAAATTCGAATTCTAGAACATCATTGCAATTTTTAATTAAACATTTAAAACTTTTAGAACATGATAGAAATGAACAGACTGAGATTCAAGTTGTAGATAATGGGCAAATATCCAGTTTATATATCGCGAAAATAGCTTGTAAACATTCCGTTTTATGCAACGATTATAACAGCATTAGCAATATAGAGCAAGAATGTCATATTTTGCTCAGCCAACATAGTATACCAGAAGAGGATGCACTAACATTTTGGAAAAAACAGACTGGTATTTCCTAAGATTGCTAATTTAGCTAGGAAGGTTTTTTGTATTCCTGCAACGTTAAAATAATGTAATACATTGAAATTATAAATTAAATTTATTCAAAATTTTTAAAAATAGTATGCTGCGGCCGCCGCCAATTGAGGCTTCGGCGAACAGGTCTAGATTCTTTTCACTCATATTTATGAGGAGAAATTATAAATATCTAAAAATAACCTGATATTTATCAAAATCTTTAAACAACTCTGATATCAAAATGTTTACACCATTTAATTTTTAAGGTTTTTATTTTGAAATTTTTTTAAATTGTTTTGAAAATATGAGTAGTAGATGAATATTAAAAGCTTCATTATATATTTCCCAATTATTGATATAATTTATATTTATTATAAAATAAAACGTAATAATGTTAACTAGATGGCATGCATGTTTATTTTTATAATCGCATTCCTGTAAATTAAATTGAAGTTAGAACCATATAATTAATAAATCGACAATATTTCATATAATAAAACATTGTTTAATTTTATAACGCTAATTTTTAGACTTCAATGGAGAGTATTGATTGAGCCTGCTATCAATTTAGCCGAAAACGGGTATATTATGACTCTAGCAACTGGTTATTTTTTAAAAAAAATATTTTCTATACATTTGTAATTATTTTTATATCTAATTTTTATTGTTAAAATAATCCTATTTCTAATTAGCAGCACAATTTATACATATGATAGTCAAGGCTTCTATCACGGTGGAAGGTGGGAGGGCGCGAGATCTTCATTGAAAAGGGGGGTGGGTCAAATCGTCATTATATTAGGGGGTAGGTAGAAGTCCCTGATTATTGTTAATTCATGTAATTTATAACCAGTTTTTTACTGATCATTCTACTAGGTCAGAAGAAGAATGGGCCAAAAATTTTTTGGGCTCCAAAAATTTTGCATACCGTTTCTGATTCCTTATATTTTTATGAGGTTTGAATATTTTTAAATGGAAAAAAATATATCGTTATCCCTTCCACTTCGTATAAACTATATTACCCCTTGGACCATATCAATTGGCTGCTAATCCTTAAAAACGAACTTTTGAGTTTTTATTTTGTCAAATTTTTTTACTATGATATCTTAAAAAATTTTTTTAGTTAAATCGCTACATAAAAAATTCGAATCCCCTCTAAAAATGATGACTCATTATCCTCTCCTCGCCGAAATTTACGTCAAGAAAATTAGTTTAAACTACACCTCGCCGAAACAATATAGGTTCGTAAAGGTTGGTGAAACGACTACCAATCTGAGATTGGCAAATTCTCTTAGACTTATAGCCAATCACGGTCCTGAGGCCCTATATCAAGGTCCTTTAGCCGCCGAAATAGTTAAAGTGGTAAATTAAATATATTTATTATTTGATAAGTGTTTGGGTTCGATGATACTTTCACGATTTAAAAATAATATTTTGTCAGCCTTTATATATGTCGCTACCCATTGGTAAACCCATCCATTCTCCATATTAATAATGTTTGTAAATATTATTATTAATCTCATCTCAACTTTTTATAAAAATAAGAAATCCAGTTCAAAATAAATTAATGAAAATATTTTTTTTATCGTTCGCCATTGCAAATTTTAAAAAATGGCAAAATTATTGGTTGAAACCAAGATAATATGGAGACACTATTGTAAATTCAAGTTCAATTATAGAATTTTATTTAAATCTGATAGACAGACATAATGTTGATCTCGCGAAATTCAACGCGACGATGGTTACAACCCTTTTGCTGGGTTTGCTAGTTGTAGGAAATAAAAATTTTGACAAGCTAACATTGTAAGATGAAATTCCATCCTATATACTTTCCAAAAATCTAGAAGATCTTTATCTTGCGGGTTACGTTTACAAAGAATGAAGAATTCTTGTTCCTTTTTGCTATTATTTTTATTTACTCTTAGCTTTCATTTTACTAATATTTAAAGATTTTACCGTATACATTTTTTCTACTGAGGCATTCAGTTTTTGAATCCAGGTTTGATAATGACTTAACAAGGTTTCCATTTTATAAAAAAGAAAAAGTCCTAAGTTCCGATTAAAAATGTAAAGTGTTCAATTATATTTTTAAAAATTAAAATTGTATATATAACTTATTTTTGTGATTTTAAATCATTCTGAAATGTCATTTATTTGACTTTTTCCAATTTTGTTTATTATTATTTTTCCTACTTTTTTCTAGCCTTTTTTTATCTTTTTTATTTTATTTATTCATCTTTTCTTTAATTTTTATTTTTATATAATTCTTTTTCCCAAAAATTTGAATTTTATAGAAAATGTATTTATAAAAACTTTAAAAATTAAAATAAGGAGAAAAAAAGACCGAAAATTGTTTATAGATAAAAAAGGCATAAAGAATGAAAATGGGGTAAAAAAAGAGAATTGAAGAAACATGGTTAGGGAAATAATGAAATATTTTAAAGAAGAATAATAATTCAAAGGGAAAAAAATTGAGAAAAGGTGGCAAGAATATTTTAATAAGAACATGAAATTAAAGTAACACAAAATGTTAGAAAAAAATAAGCACGATAATTTAAAATAACCAAAAATAAAATACCAAAATATCAGGATGATATAAAATGATAAATTTAAAAAAATATATTAAATAAATAAACGATTTTCCTTTTTTGATTGATACGTTTCCTTTTTTAATCTGAACTGTTTTTTAGAGTTTGGTTCTTTCCCTCTTTTGATCGGATCTCTTCCCATTTGATCATACCTTTCCTTCTTTAGATTAAAGTTCTTCCCATTTGATCTGACCTTTCCTTCTTTAGATCTTTTCCTTTTTTTATGAATGTTTCCATTTTATGAATTGAAAATTCTGTAATACTTAAATAATTTTTGAAATAATAGATAACTATTAAAATAAAATGTACTTTTATATTATCACCTTGCCGATCGCTAAAAAAATCAATAGGGTCAGTTATTTAAACATATTTTCCTAAAATTTCGGGATAATTTTTATCATTTATTATCAACTGTGTTTCTAATATTACCCCAAAAAGAATTTCGAAATTCTTTTAAAATACACCTATTGATAATTTTCACCCTTTTTTAAAATATTTCAGAGAATTTTTATTGACCTCGATTAAACTTTTTGATCATTAAGTAGAAAGGGAAATTTAACTTTTGCGAAATTCTGTGTCCCACTCCCAGTCACCTAGCACACCTAGCGAAAGGTACCATTCTTATGAGTTATATGCATCAAATTTATATAAAATAATTTTTATACACGATTTATAACACTATCATTGATAATTAATGCTGTAAATGAACGCGTTTGTGAACTTCGTTTTTTTAAAAAATGTCGTTCCTTTTATTTTTGACGAAACTTGAAAATGAACTCCCTTTTTTAACGAACGCGTTTGTTTTTACACTCGTTCAATTTTAGAAAATTTTATTTATTCATTTGAAAATAAAAAATATTAATCCAAATTATGGAAAAAGAATTATAGCCAGCCACTATTTTTGTCTTATAGTATAGTATATTTATTTGAATATTATTATTTATATTTATTAGATTAGCGTAAGATGCTGTTATTTCATCATTTTATCTAATGCGGAATAATTAATATTACCATGGCCCAAAAGTGATAAATACTTTACTATATCATATCTTCAATAAACTAATTCTATCCTTATCAAATGTAAAATGTGTCCAAAAAATATAATATCAGTTTTAAAATCTTCAAGTTCTAATTTAAAGAGATACTTGATTGTAATATTTATTTTATATAATATAATTATATGTATCCTGTTAATAATTTATTTTGTTGTATTCCATTATTAAATCATTATAAATATTATAATAATAAAGTAAAAATCATTAAATATTATATACATAGATATATAGAATACTTTTAGAATTTATTTATTTTTAGTGTAAATTATTAAATTACTTTATTATATCTTAGTTTTTATCAAGGTTTTCATATTTTAATAGTTGAACACTTTTTAAGTATTATGAATTTATATATTTTATAAATAATTAAATTTAATATGGTATATAAAAGTTTTCATATCTTAAAAATTAATAAGAAATTTTTTTAAAAAAATAAAAATAATTAGTTATTCACTTAAAACTAATTATTTTAAACATGGCTAATATATATTTTGTTACAAATATATCGTATTTATTAGTGCTCTAAAGTAATGTCGTCACAAACTGCGTTACCTTTTTTGAAGAAAAAGAAAGCCATTCGTTGCCCTCTTCTAGAGGCAACACGTTTTATGAGTAACGGTAACACAAAACGTTACTCGTTACTTCAAATCCTTAAAAAATATGGGAAAAGATATTTTATTGTATTATAAAATTACTTTAATATATTTTTTAAATTTTATAAATAATTAAGTCGAGTTATTAATTCACATCAACCACCAAATTCCTTCATTTTTATTTTAAATTTTTGTTATTAAATTTTCAGTCAAGATTGTTAATCTAATTTATATGAATCAATAAATGTATATAAATTTATATTCTTATTAATATTTAATTTATTTTATAAAGAATATTATGTCAATTGTACATTTTCTTTAGATGAAGATGATTAAAGCCTGCTTTGGCTTTAATAAGAAACACTTTTTATAACAATGAAAAAAATTAAGGGTACTAAGTTTACAATTTGTAAGTGGAAATTGAGTCCAAACTCTATTTTAACCTTAATTGTGGAATAAACATGGGCATCCTCTAAACTGTGCAACCATTTTTAAGGAAAAAATGGGATATCTGAAACTGGTTTTAACATGGAATTCTTTCTATGGAGAACGGCCATAAATTTGACGAATCTTGTGATAAATCTAAATTAGAGATTTCAGATAATGACAAGTCGTTCATAGATGAATATTCTATGCCTATATATATGATTTTATAGGTTTTGGAATCTGTTCCTACGACTCTTTCGATTTTAGAGAGATAAGAAAAAATGCATTTGGGAAATCTCACTCCCACGATAACTATTATAATATTTAAATATGGCTTTAAATAATTTCATTTTGTAAGTCACTTATTAATTCAATTCTGCAAAACAATGACAAAAGGTATACAGTTACAGTATTGTTCACAATTTGTATTTTGATAATATTTTGTTCCAATTGAATATATATTATCATCAATAATTAACCCACTATTTAAATGAGATTGGCTCTCGTCAACTAGATGCCAGTGACAGAAGGAAACTTTTTGTTTGAGAAAAAATCTTGACAAAGAAAAGCCAGACTTGATTCCTTAAAAAAACACATGTTCAGATTATTTTCAAAAAAATTTTTAAGAAATCGGATAATGATCTACTGAAGATCCATTTGACGATCAACTAAGTTTTTTTCAAAATAAAGATTATTTTTAATATTTAATAAATTCCCCCAGTTTAAATTTAATTTATCCAATACCTTTGCACCATTTGAACGTGTCTTTAGCACTAAGCACTCTTGTTTATCGATCAAAATTTAAAATCGATTGTTGCTAAATTAAATAAAAATTATTACAAAAATATCTTATCTTATAACATATTTTTGTATTATTTTATTTCCAAATTATATATAAAATAAATTATTATAATAAGATATCTTAATATATATTCTTTTTTGCATAATTTTATTTATATAGATATAGGGAAAAAATTTTTTTTATAAATAATATATAATTTTTTAAGTAACGAGTAACTCTTTACTTTTTTGAATAGTCAGTAACGCGCATTCCTTTTTCCACAAGGTAACGAGTAACAGTAATGCGTTACTTTTTTCAGACGTAACGAGTAACGCGTTTATTTTTTTAAGTAACATTTACAGCACTAGTATTTATAAATTAAATTAAATTTTTTTAAAAAAATTTATTCATTTCGTTTTTTTTAGAAATGTTTACAGCATTGATAATATAATATTCAAAAATTTATAATTTATGCTTTCAATAAAAAATTTTATTTTAATATACTGGTATTTTCATATTATTATTTTATTTTTATAATAAAAATGAACACACCACCTTTAGGATCAATCTCTTCAGTGATTTTTCTAAGCTACAAGTGTATCAAAAATACTTATCTGAATAGGAATTATTTAAAAAAATATATAAGTTTTATTATTTTTTATATCAGAGACCCGGGGATACCATCTGCACGGCCAGCCCAGCTCGCCCCGGATTTTTCAAAAAGTTTTTGGCCTAGTCCGGATTTTTTAAAAATATATACTAATTATTTTTAATTTTCTTTGGTAATAATGGCGATTTGAAATATAAAGCACCACCCGGGCATTTTTTAAAATTTTTTTTAATGCGACTCGTCTTGTATAACGAGCTTGCAGGTCTCTGATTTGTATTGATTAATTAAACGTATTCAAAAAAATTATTGATATGACACCTTACATTAATATTGATTTTGGCGCAGTGGCGTGCAAAATTAACTATATACTTGCTTGATAAATTACAAAAAAAATAAATAGAACTGTACCGAATCGAGGTCTGCAAATGGTGGGTTTTCAGCCCCTCCGCTCACGGGCTAAAATGTTTTAAACATCAGGCGGGTAGGTTAAAAATATTTTTAAAACAATGTGAGTTAATTTTAAATTTCCGAAATGTAAAAATCATTTTTTTTATTTAATATTGCATATTTTATGAGTTTAATTAAGAATACATCAACTAAATAAAGAGCCAGGCAAGCCATTAAAATATTTTTTAAACACTGGGCTGGTGTGTTGTTTAAACCAAAATTTTTAAGTGGACTAACGAGAATGTAAATTTTATAAATAACTATGGGTGGTAGGGCAAAAAAATTTTAAAAAACTATGGGCAGGCGGGCAGGTTAAAAAATTAAAAACAATTGGACGGGCTTATTGGCAATAATACGCCCAATTGCAGACCTCTAGTGCCGATCTCATTTGGCGACATTTTTTTAACCAAACCGTTTTGTCATTTTATAAGCATAACCTTTAATATATTTTTTTATACATCGAATTCAGGATTTCCAATTCTTACACAATTTACAATTATATTTTATGTGTCAATATGAAATTGGTAAAATTATTATAAAATCCTTTTTTTATCAGGCTCTAGGTGGGTTAGGAATTCCATAAAAAATCGGTCTTATTTATATTAAGATGGTATTTTTCACTATTATTTCCTTTTTTAAAATTAATGATCCCTTTTACGAATAATGAATTTTTATTATCTTTTAATTATTTAAATCCATTTCAAGTATAAATTTAAATGAAAGCAATTTTCATTGGTAATGAGTAAAATTAAGGGACACGTGACTATCATTATTTGCATTATGAAATTGACATATTATTGATTTAATCCTAGCCATATTGTTATTAACAATCTAATGTTAAATCACGTGTTGTTTTATTTACCCAATTAGTAATAATATATTTCTTATACAATAAATATTAATAACGAAAGGTTCAAGCCAAAGGAGGCTTACTCACTTTGGAAGACCTGTATACGTTTCAACCTGTGCTTAGACGCCCTTATAGTTTCAATCTCATGAAAGGGAGATATAGAGCCTTAACATTTCCTTTACCAGCTTCCGGCCCAGTTTTGGCTCTTATTCTTCAGATCATAGAAAAACTGGGTTTATCTCGATTGACTTCTTATTCCGATATAGATGGCTTTCATAACGAAGAAATTAGTGAAGAAAAAATTAAAAAGTACATTTACTTTATACTTCCTTGAATATTATTTTTCATGATATTTGGCAAAATAATTTATATTTTTCAGTGCTGTAAAGTTAGGACTTAATTATTGGCATTTCTTTTTTGCGAATAAAAAAAGTTCCTTTTGATTAGGTTTTGATAAATCCATTTGTTTTCTCACCTTCCGTTTTTCCTATTCCTTTATTATAGAGTTAGTAACGGCATTTCCGATCTAGATGTACAATTCTTTGATAGCCTTACCCAGAAATATCCTTCCCTTAAAAAAGTTATCATAAATATGCAAGAAAAAGATGGGAGTTCACCCGAAGATTTGGTGTCTTATTTTGATTCATTTGCAGATTCCGGGGAAAAGAAAAAAGTTGGAAAATCTAGGCGATTCATAAGCGAAAAAATTATCGAAACACCTGGTTATGAAAGAGTGAAAAATAAATATTTCAAGAACCTTCCTGCAACTTATACGGCGCTCTATTACCATTGGCTGGTAGAAGCGCTTAAGTTTAGTCAAGCTCACGCACACTTGCTCGGTGATCCTACTTCCGATGTAGTGAGTTCATTGATAATTTTATTGAATTGCTACATGATGATATAAAATAAAATGTATGTGTTTCTTCTTTACTATAAAACTGGCTTTTAAATCAATAATACTTTATAAATGGCTATGTTTCAATTTCAATTTTCCAAAAAATGTCCTTTTTATATTTTAGTTTTCTTTTAAAAAAATGCATTACGGTATGCTCCCCTATTTAAACAAAATAAAAATATTAATAAACATACCAATAATAATTTTAACCGCACTCATAGCAGACTTTTTAAAATCCATGCATAAATAATGGATTAGGGAATTCTCTTTCCTAAGAAAATTATTTCGAATACTTTATCACACGTGTTTTGCATTTTTTTGGAGCACACAATAAACAGCTGTGATAAAAATAGCGTTTATAGATACTCGAATGGCATATAATTGAACAAATAATTTTGACATGGAATAATTTCCATTCATATACCAGGCTGTGGTATTTGAGTTCGTTCGTTACAAACATGATTATCCTTTTGTCCAATCTCCTATAATATGTAATTTAAAAATACTATTATATCCAAACTAAAAGTTATTAGATCGAACTGTCCATTGGTAGACGTTGCTATTAGTGAGAATATAACATTGCTGAGGCTTTTGTATTTGTTTATTTTTTTAGTCTTTGCTTGAATAAGCAGGTTACTATTAATATTGATAGGGAAGAATAAGACACATGTATATTTCCAAATAAGGGATCTGCTCATTGGCCAGGGGATAGTGTAAGACCGCCGGATCTTAGGTCTCATCTGTTGAGAGGTTGCAGGGTTCTAGAATATTAGGTATATGAGCCTTTTTTAATAAGAGTCTTGATAATTTGTTTATTGAAGAGTGACATTGATGTCGACATTGGCTTTTGATGCAATTGAGGTCATGCATTCCCTTGGCATTTACTAGGAGGTTACAGTTCATGCAATGATGAGGGTGAACTAGGTCGCTTCCGAGAATGCCAAGACAGTGTCTCGTCGCTTTCGAGAATATGCCAAGACAGTGTCTCTCCTGATACACCTTTCCCACAATAGCGATCCAAGGAAACATTTTTTCACCCCAATATCAAAATCTTCTACAAATTCATCTTCATCTTTTGAGGACATTCAACTCTTTCAAAACCAACATAAAATCGGAGGCCACAAATGGCTGGAAACTCTGCTCATCAAAAATCTATGGAATTTCTTAACTATTGAACAACTAAAAGTGACTTTAGGACCTCAATTGCATCAAAAGAAGGTTGACATTAACGTCACTCTTCAATAAACAAATTATTAAGCCCCCTATCAATAAAAAGGCTCGCATATCTATTATTCTAGGACCCTGAAACCTCTCAACAGATAATGGCCTGATGGTCTGACCACTATCCCCCGATGGGCAAATCCTTTATTGGGGATTATACATATGCCTCATTTTTCCCCACTAATAATAATAGCAACCTGCTTACTCAAGCAGAGACTAAAAAAATAAACAAATTTAAAAGTATATTCTTACCAATAGCAACGTCTACCAAATGTACAGTTAAATAATTTAGATCACAAAAATTAAATCGCAAATATTTGTAGGGAATTCCTATTCCTTAGGCAGAACATGCATATCATATTTTTAAATTTAACTATTGTTCTTTTTTAGGAACTTGTTTTTTTAGGTTTATATAATTTTTTTTAAAACATTTATAAGATATTATATGTAATAGTTTTAATAATAATTTCAAACCATCAAATTTAATGAGGTCTTGCAAATTCTCACGTTTTGAATTGGTATGCTTTACCTTTGACTTTTCCGATAACATGCGTGACTGAACGCTTTGGTCTAGTTTTACAACTTCCTCATAAATTTGAAGAGGTTTTGAGTCTGCACATCGCTTCATGTTAGAAACTTTCTGCTAGTTCATCAATATTTGATGGATGAGTATGAGCTTTTTCAGGTACCAAATTTTTATTATTAGTGTTATGGCTTACAAATTGAATTATCCTTAGCGCTGATAATAATATTGCTCGACAGGCCTGATTCTAGACCTATTTCCCAAAAAATTTTAACTGCCCCCCCCCCATTCCCTCAAAAAAAGAAGGTTTTTTTTTATTTTATTTTCCTTAACATTTTTTGTTAAATTTTTTAAAAATAAGTATGTAATCAGAGAGAAATAACTGTTGTTCAAACCACTATCGGTTTAAAATACTATTCATTCCGAAATACCTAATATCGTCAACGCACCTCATATTGTAATGAGGAATAAGAAAATGTAAATGTAGTTAATTTGGTGGAAGAGCGAAAATGATCAAGATGCCAAGATTCAGAATAAGGAAAATGAGCTTAAGCTTGCAATAACAAAATGAATAGGTTAGATTTTTAAGTAATTCTTATTGAAAATATTTTACAACTAATTTAAATTAGGCATCACCAAATAGGCCAACATATAGTGGTGTTAAAAAGTCCATTTTGGGTCGATTTAAAAAACGGCTAGATCAAAGTTATAACCAAAATAATATTATGTAAGTCTGGAGATTTTGCTCATAGATAGCAGAAAGGTTTGAACATCTATTTGCCAAATAACGAAGCTTACATAATATTATTTTGGCTAAAATCCTAATCGAGTCGTTTTAAAAAATCGACCCAATTCGGGCTTTTTAACAACAATAATGGTAAAAGACTGTTAGTAATAATGAAAGAAGAGTTTTTTAGGCACTATAGGTTGAATAAATAATTGAAACTGATGCAGTTCTTTGCCTTTTAAGTAAAATCTATAACTTAAAGAGTGGTGAATCAAATCTATACCAAAACGGGTTTTACCAACTGGAAGAAAGTTCTTGTATACAGGGACCTTGAGAATCATTATAATTGCTGAGTACATAGAAGAAGGAAATCATAAGACCAAAAGATTTTTCCAATTTTTTTGTATAAACTAATTAGCAAATTAAATAAAATTTTAATCAAGATAGCCATTTTAATTTTCTAGACTTAAAAAAATTATTTGTTAAAAGTTTACATCCAATAACATATAATAATACCTAGACCGACGATTCATTCATAAAAGTATGTATCAATGCAAATCAGCTGGAGACGCTATTGACACCATATTGATATCTGTCTAGTAAAATTTGTAAAACTAAGGCAATGACTTTAAATAAAATATCCTATCGATTCCTAGACTATAGTAACTAGTTACATTTTGGCTAAAAAATAATTGTAACTAGTTTTATTTTTAAAATTGTAACTAGTTATATTTTTAAAATTGTAACTAGTTATAATTTTTGAAATGTAACTGCCAAAAGTAACTAGTTACTTTTAAAGTTATATTCAAATAATTAATTTTATTTTCAATATGTTGTGATAAATTAATTTTAAATTAAATTTATTTTTTAAATTAAATTTATTAATTTAAAATTTTGTGAAAATGTCTGATTGTTATAATTTCCCGTTCAAATTGATTTTCTTTTCTTAAATTGTTACATTGCTACTGGGCTTCATAATTTTGTAAGCAAATTCAAGTAATTTAATAAATTTTAATATTATATTTATTTACAAATGTAGCACAATATATTTTTTTCCGTCAAGTAACAAGCATTGGAACTTCATATCATACGTAATAAAAAAAAATTTAATTTAGTATAAGGAAAAACAAAGACAGATTATTTTAGAATTTAATATTAAATTATTAATCATTACTTACAAGAACCAAGTCTAACAAAAATATCATGTTATAGGTTTAATAATCTTTATGATAATGACAACATCATTGCTGCAATTCTTCACCCCTTATTTAAAACTGACTGGCCTTGGATTAGGCAAGAAAGGAATAAAGCAAAAAAGGAGGAAATTTTAAATTTAATAAATACTTTAATACCTCAAAGTGAATCCCAGACGAATGAATCAGGCTCAAAACCAACATCACTTGATGTAGTTGGATTTTTTGACCTAAAGCGCCAAAATATTCTACTTTATCAAATCTAATAACAACACTTTTTCTTTATATAACGATTTTCCAAAGTTAAAATTACTCTTTATTAAATATAATGTTGTTCTAACATCAAGTGCTCCCGTAGAGCGCTTGTTCAGTCTAGGTAAGCTCATTTTTGGAGATAAACGAGCACGTCTACTAGATAATAACTTTGAAATTAATTTGTTGTTAAAAGCAAATAAACATTTATTAGATTCTAATTTTTATGAAAAATAAATGTTTTTTTTTCAATGCAAATATATATTTTTATATTCGATGTAAATATTCAATTTTGCGATATTTTTTTATATAAATAAATTGTATATTATTTTAAATAACTGATTATACTTTGTTTATCCTAATTTTTTTTATATTAAATAAATGCATTCAATAAATAAATAATGCGCATATGAATGATGTATAAAGTAAGTAACTAGCTACTTTTGAAAATAATTGTAACTAATAACTAGTTACTTTTGTAAAAATGTAACAAGTAACTGTAACTAGTTATGTTTTTGCCAATGTAACTAGTAACTGTAACTAGTTATGTTTCAAAAGTAACTTTTAACATATTCTTATGTATTTAGCAGAAATTTAAAATATTCTTGATAAATTATTATTAGTATTTAGATATTTATAAGAATATTAATAAATCTAAAGTATTTTGATAAAAATTATATATTTTTTATAGCCAAATACTTTAATTAATAAATTTGACAGGATTCGGAAATAGTTGCTAATCAGCTAAAAAATTTAATTCCTGTGGGGATTTGCAATTTTTGACTATGAACGTTGAACGCATTCGATTTTTTTAGAAATGTTTACAGAACCATTTATAATTAATTCATGATCCGAACTGGTTTGGTTTCCTTGTATATACCACCATCTGATTGAGATATAGATCCATAAAAACACCTTTCAAATTTTGTTTCATATTTGTCAAATGATTTGTAATGAACTAAAAGATGAAAAATGATTCATTTTGTAATTACCCATAATAATTATTTAAAAAATATTCTTATAGTCATACAACTATACTTATGAATCAATGGGAACTAATGACGATTCCTTATCAAATAACCTACACTATCAGTTCTCTTCCGATAAACCTTACTCATACCCCGATCTAAGAGCCATCGTTCATTCTATATCTAATGATACGACTTTCGATTTTTCCAGCGGACATTATAATATACCCCCTATCAATTCCATAAATAAAGTGGGGACGGCTCACGTAAGTGTAATAGATGATGACGAACTTATGGTATCCGTTACTAGGTTATATACATAATTTTCCTTTTGGCTTAGATAATTATTAATTGATAAATGAGACCCAAAACTTTAGGAAAAACTCTGGAAAGATATATATGAATTCCTATTAGCGTTATTTTTCTCGATATAATCACCCTAAAATTAGGCCTTTAAAAAATTTGTCATATTGATATACTGAGGAGTAATGTTGTAAACGAACGCATTCGTGAACTAAGTTCGTTTTTATGAAAAAAAATATAAACGACGTTCTATTTATTTTTGACAAACTTTGAACGCGAACGCGTTCCTTGATGAACACGTTTGATTTTTATGTTTTTTCAATTTTAGAAAATGTTTTTATTTTTATTCTTTTGAAAAAAAATATATACTAATTTTCTTTATCACAAGATTATATCTGTCTTTTATTATAGTTTATTATCTTGAATATTATTTATAGATTAATGTTAACATGGCTTTTGTTATTTCATTATCATCATCTAATTCTGGATTAACATTACCATCATGTCCAATAAAAACAGTAACATCATATATCTAATAAATTAATTCTATCCTTACCAAATGTAAAATATGTTTAAAAAATATAATATTCATAAAGTTCTAATTTAAAGAGATACTTTTTCTCGGTCATTGGTTGTTTAATTTGAATAGTAGCTGATACTTGATTGTTATATTTATTATTTTATGGAATATAGCCATAAGTATCCTGTTAAAAATTTATTTTAGATTGTTGTATTTCATAGACTTATTAAATTATTATCATTTTATAATAGATTTTATAAAGTAAAAATCATTAAATATATATACATGAATATAAAATAGTTAATATCTTTCATAATTTTTTTTTTTAGTGTGATTATTTAAAATTTGTTTTTATCAAAGGTTTTATTTATTAGTTAAACACAATTTAAAGTATTATAAATTTATATATTTTATAAATAATTACATTTTATGATATATAAAAGTTTTATTAATTTAAAAATTAATAAGAAATTTTTTTTAATAAATAATATTCTTAAAACTATTAATTTTAAACATGGCTAATATATTGTGTTAAAAAATAAATGGCATTTATTTATATTAAATGAAATTTAAAATAAAAATTAATTCATAGTTTGAACGAACGGTTCCATTTTTGAAGGTGAAGGTTGAACGTGATCGCGTTCGATTTTCATCGGTGAACGTTGAACGCCTACGATTTTTTTAGAAATGTTTACAGCATTACTGAGGAGTATTGATTTGTCACTGCGTTTTTTTAAATATCAAACTGATTTAACAAATAATTTGATAGAATAATTTATATTTTTCATTTAAAAATAAATAAAAAGTACTTTGAATAATATTTTTGGGTCAAAAATAATAACCAAACACGGCATCCTGTTGAATGACGAAATGAACGATTTTACTTCTCCACCCGAGAAGAATGGCAAACTAGTTAGATTTTAAAATCTCATAATCCTCATATTTATTTTATAATAGCTCGAATGGGCAATTAGGTGTTATTTATTATGTGGTTTCGGTTAATATTATTAGACAATTTATATTTCAGAAATCGATTTTTTCAAATATTTGATTCGAAGGGTAGTTTAGCAATAATTTAAATTTTTTTATCGATTGTTAGATTTTTTGTTCACTTTAATATTTTATTTTAAATCTTTAGTTGATGAAGCCTTTAACTATTACAAAATTAATCATTTAGTTCAAACTTATTAATAAAATAAAAAATGTATATCGCTTGTTTTCAGATTACTAAATAAAAAAGTGAAAACCTATAATTTTTGGTATTAAAAAAAAAGACAGCATTAAATTTTAAATACTTTAGTTACCGAATGCACCCCGTGCGGGCAAGAGACCTTTATCAAACATGGTTCCCACAATAATCTATGAAATAGATAAGCCTTGTGGTCTTCGGCTTGTTATAGGGGGTTCTAACGGTTCTCGTATAATTAGTGGGGTAGCTCAAGTCTTGCTCAACTTGCTAGCGTTAGGGGATACTTTACCTCAGGCTATTGCTAGACCTAGAATCTACATGAATCTTGACACTAATAGGGTTGATGTTGAAGGTAATATATGACAATTATTGCGTTTTTTAAAAATATCAATTTTTTTAGCAAATAATTGTGAAGTTTTTAGAACATTTACATATGCAGAATAAATTTGTGGTAGACTTGATGGGCTTTTTAGTCTATTTAATTTTTTTGAAATGAATAATTTACCATTTACTAATATTTCACAAACTATTTAAATAAGACTAATTTATTTTTTTTATAAATAGAACATTTCCCAGATAAAATGATTCAAGAATTAAGCGCCAAGAATCACAATATATTTAAAGTTCCCGAAGGGCTCAACTCTGTCATTCCTATCATGAAAATAAAGGATACATTGTGGGCAACCTCAGATCCAAGAAAATCTGAAGTGCAATCTGCTGCAATATATTAATATCTTTTAGAATTATAGAACTAAAAATATCATTCTTATGACCAAAAATTTTATATTTTATTTAATGTGTTTTGTATATAATTTTTTGACCCAGTATTTAATATTTTAAATATAGTTACTTGTTTTATCATATTTATATAAATAATTGTGGAACATTCCTCCAGATTTTAAGAAATTATAGACCTAATAAAGTATTGCTTTTAATTTTAACCCGAAAAATAGAAAATTATGTATCTATTAAAGTCTGCAGAGGTCTAATTTAAATTTTCCCGCATCTCCAGACCCCCTATTAAATTTTTTGGCTCAGTCTAGATTTTTTAATTTCATTTTATGACTTAAACTGGATATATAAAAGTTCACCATTTTAAATAATCTTGGTTCTATTATATAAAATAATTTATTATAAGATTTTCTAGCTGGTTAATTAACATAATTTTAATTTAATTTAAAAAATTTATCCTGACTAAGGTTTTTTTAAGCATGCCTTGTCTTTGGTTTATAATTTTTAAGCTTGGCCCAGATTTCTTAAATAGATATACAAACTAGGCATGTAGGTCTGATTTATTCATTTTTAGTTTGATAATCTCTCCATAATTATTAGTTATGAATTGTGAATATCTTATTAAATATACAAATCAATAACAAAATGCTTTAAAATTTTTCAGAGTATAATATCTATATGATTATGAAATAGAATATTGTGTTTTCAATAATTTAATTTATAAAATGTGTAAATAATCGCTACAAAAAAATAGGTGCATTAAATAAAATCAGTATAAAATATCAATGGAAAGCCTTGCTAATGATATATCCATTAAAATTTTTTCTTAGGCTTTTTGGGATTTCTTGATCTACTCTTAGCTTTACACAACGGACAAATAGGTGCATTTCTGTGTATCTGTTGGTGGCATGATAAGCAGGTCTTTAGATTTTTATAAGAAAAAAAATGTTTTAAATTTTTTAATGATACTTATAGATTTTAAATTAAATGTATTACTGGCCTGGGTATGGGTAGTTATCTATCATATCAATATTATTATTAAAAATCTCGAATAACAAATATAAAGATAAAAGTTATATAGTGGAAGGTTTAATGAAACAAATTATCAACAAATTTTAAATTTTTTGCAAATATAAAGAGAATCAAAATCGTTTTTTATGTTATAAAAAAATTGCTTAATATCTATTATTAATTTATTCAAAAAAAAAATTGTTCCCAAGCCAGTAATATTTAAATTAAAAAAAACAATATATTTGTATAATACTTAATTTAATACTAAGCATAAATGTAAATTAAGGTTTTAAAAGGTCAACACAAAAAATTATGTTACATATATTAAGGGTAAATAGCATTGAAAAATAAACTACCTTCATAGGAGGTGGTTGCTGGTTCCTAAAAAAGGCAACTGAAGAAGAAGGTCTCATATAACTTCCTGATCCCACCAGGCTATTCATAGAACTACCTGTTCCACTCATATTAGATGAGCCTAAACCATTCAAAGAATTGAAGGTATAAGATGCATTGAACATGGATGTTGATGACTTGCTATCTACATTTAAAGGGTTTAAGCTTAACTTATCTAACAAAAAATTTCGAGTGTTCTCTATCTTCAAACCTGATTTTGTATAGGTACCTTCAAAGGTGTTAGTTGATGAAGGTGTAGGATGGGGGGAAATGTCTTTTGCAAAATTTGAAATAGCATTATTATAAGCCTCTTCACATTGAGAGATGGTTGATTTTTTAATTGATTTATATTCATTGTTAGTCTGATTTTGACTATCTACAAAGGATAAAGCATTTTGTTGAGATTTTTTAGATAGTGAATGATGTAAATTTTGAAATGTCTGATTACAATTTAGGTTGTTGGCTAAAGCATCGTGGATAGGTAAAGTGTGCTTTTGAAACAGGCTTCTTTAAAAAAATAAATTGTTAAAATGGTATATATATTTATATCTAGGAATATTTTGAGCTTAATATCTTCAAATTTAAAATCTAATTGGCTTTTAATTCTGTAAAAATTATAACCAACAAATCAAATAACCTTGAAAAATGTAGACAATATAAATGAGTGGATAAAAAATTAAACTATGACTGGGTATATATTCTCCCTAAAAGTCTGCAATGGGTAGGGAAGAGGTGGGTTTAGGGGAAAATTTTCATGAAAGATATTTTAAAATACAGGCAAATTTACCCCTCTAGGATATGCCTATAGTAATACCTAAGTTAAATATCATTTTATATGATTTCTAAATAATTTTTAAAGCTATATTTAGTTATAATACATCAATAAAAAAAATTGTTAAATTTTAATATACATACTGAAGCATCTCAGCCTCTTTGGGATTTAAGGAAATGTTATCTTGAATTTCTTTTATTAGGTCACTTTCAATACCTAATGACAACTTTATATCATCCAATATTTTTTGTGAGTATAATAAATCATCATACAACTTTTTCGTTTCATAAACACAAAATGTTTTATGTTCATTTGATTGTTTTAAAACTAATTCCATCTATATGAAAATAATTATTTAAAAAGGTTAAAAACATTACCAAATTAATATCGGTGTGTATTAATCTTAGCTCTTCAACATGAAACATTTTTTCCCTGTATAATTCTTCCATTTCTTTATTATATTCGTCAATATTCTCTCCCTCTTGTTGATAATATTCATAAAACTTAAATATCTTTTTTTTTAAAAACTCCATATGCTTAATTTTATCTCTTTAATAATAAAATTAAGTATTGCATTGGAGTATATACCTGGCATTCTTAATGCACTCAAGTTTGGTGTAGATTTCCATTTTATCACTCATTCTGAATCACATGTTATCGATATGACCGAGACAATTATATCCTCAAATTAAATTGAAGTCCATCTGACCAAGTCACCAACATTTTAGATTAATCAGATACAGTGGCGTAGTGTACAATTAAACACTAAATATTGATAAAATTTTTAGAATATTGCTTTCAGTCATCTAGTAATCATAAATTTGGCCAAAATTTTTTTATTAATATTCATTTATGCTGGCTACCTAAGTGGTAAGACACTACAGCACAAAATTATGATAAATTTTAGAATTGTGAAATATTTGTATAGAATCCTCTATTATATATTTTTACCATGATGTATTTAGACAGAATATTTTTATATATATTGTTGGGATAAATCATAATTTTCTTTTATATTATTTTTTATAAATTACATTTTATCATCCTTTTAAACCAAAAAAATCCTTTTATTTCTTTTTATGACAATGAAAAAATAACCAATTATGTACAAATTGATATAAAAAAATGTAACGTTAATGATATTAAAAAAAAATGTTAATATAAAATTTTCACCGAAAAGTATAATCTCTATTATTTAACAAATTGATTTCCAATTGTTCAGCCAACTTAAGATGATATAATAAATATTGAAAAGTTAATATTATATAATATTTTTTAGGGGCCCTGCCGAAGGCCCTAAAAAAATTTTAAAACCCCCTATGGGCAGAGCCGTATCCACGTGGTGGCCTTGAGGGAAGGGCCAGGTCCCATCTCCTAAAATATTTTTGGCCCCCAACCTGGCCCCTAGAAAAATCTTTGGCCCCCAAAAATGCCCCCCATATATAATTCCGGCCCCCCAAATTTTAAAAAAATTTTGTAATATATTGTTTTTATATTTTTAAAACATGTCTAGTTTAGAAATTTCTTTCTATCCTGCTTTATTTTTATTTAATAATAAATCATCATTCATTCATATTTTATCTTTTTCATGTGTGTTTGTGTATGACATTATATAGGCGCTAAATCACATTTAAATTGTACTCATTTCAATGAGAATTATTTTATTTATCATGGTTCAATCACAATATTATTATTATTATATAAGCAGTTATTTAAAACAGTGGTGAATATTTTATATTTATGAAAAAAATACTGAAATAACAACAATTATGGTAAGCCAACAAATTAACCGTAATACGGTACTGTTTAATCACAGGTGATCCAAAGGCTTTTACCTTAGATAAAGAATATCAATAGAAATTTGTCGATCCAACTGCATATCCATACATGGGTCATTAGGTCCCGCTGCCCATACCTAAATATATTATTTTAAATTATTTTTTTAATTTCTCTTCTTTTAATTATATATTTTTTTATAGAATATAGATATAGTATTGTAACATTTTGAGGAATTTAGAAGAATTGGGTGATTAGAACCGTTGTCAAATAAAGAAAGGTTAGAACTAAAATGATACTAAATCAGACTAATATCCTCGATTATATATACTTTTCTATAATATTCGTCAAATAAGAAAAGTTAGAACTAAAATGATACTAAATCTTTATCAAATAATAAGATAAAAACATAATCAAAATAAATTAATATAAATTAAAATTAAAAATTAAAGATTAAAAAAAATTAAGTTCGTAAAATCATGATTTAATCATCATTTTTCGCATTATAATTTCTCCTTATATATCCTTTTTCTTTAATCAACATTTGCATAGTCTCAATTTGTACCGAGATATAATTCTTGTAGATTTGAATATCTTTGGGCTTCGTAATTTTGTTTAAAAGTAATTTGCCTGTCTGGCGTTTTTCTTAATCTAGTAAATTTGCATGTTGCCACAATTACAACAAGTATGTCAATTATAATTTTAATATTCTTTTAAATAGTATTTTTATCATTGTTTTGTTTTATTTTTATAACTGTGCATTGCTGTTTTTTAAAATCTAAGTTGTAGTAGTGGAGAAAATCTAAAATTAAAGGAAGAAACAAATTAATATAATTAAAAACAACATTAAAAAAAAAATTACTGTTTTATTATTATTAATTTATTTATAATAATCATTCTTACCTTTTGCGCATATATATTCCAATTTTTTTTTCAGATTCACACAAGAAATAAATACTCTACTAATATATTCTTTAAATTAATATCGATTTCAAATTTTCCTTAGCGTTATATTAATCTACTATTTTAAAATTTTCCACCAAATCATTTGAAAAACTAATGTAAAATACGAATGAAAGCATTATACTGGAACTTAAGGAAATTAGGGCAAGGTAGATGACCAATTTTATAAATTATATTTAATTATTGAGTCAATGCAAAACTCTATGAATTGAATATTTTTCTACCTCGACTTGCAGTAAGGCTGGCCTATCGTTTTAAAATTAATATAAAATCATAAGTCAGTCTTTGAATACTATCCAATAAATCTCTTTATACCTATCTTGGTTACTTTTATAATACAAATGCAAGAAAAGTTCTAGATTAATTATGTAGCACTTACAAATCTACAAATGTTACTTCCTCCATATTGAAGATGTTAAAGCATCACATGGTGTATTATTAACCAGAGGAGTCACTCGCCTTTACAATCTCAGCAGGCGCAAAAAAAAATTTTTAAAACTATTTTATAAATTACCTTTTTTTAGCTAACATTATCTAAAGATGCTACTGTTACTAATTGAATGCAAACTGTTGATATAATCAGTTTGTTATATCTTCGATTTGCTTTTAAATTATTTGATATTTTAAATATATCCTTATGATATGTTTTAATTTATTTTATTTTAAATTTATTATTTTTTTTATCATTTTAGAATCTATAAATATAACTTTTTTGTGATTTATTAACTTAGGGCTAAATGATCTTAATTATTATTATTTCTTTTATGTACATATCCACTAGAGTCTATATATACTAGAAAGGTGTATACTGTAAGACATCCCATTATATAGATCATTCAGTGGCGTAGCTACGGAAGGGGGGGGGTGAGGGGTGTTCGGGTTTAGACCTCCCCCCCAGAGCAAATTTTTTTTGATTTCTTTATATTAAATAAATACCATGAATAATATTTTTCCGGTTTTAATGTTTGTGGTTCTGGATAGTATTATTATAAAGTCATTGAGAATAATCTAATAAATTTATAATTAAGGCAATATAATATTTATAATTAAAGCAATATAATATTTATATTTTAAATAATCGCTATTTTTTTGGAAATTGATTTCTATAAAGGTATAATAAATTGAAACACATATATAATTATGCAAGCCTGAAAATTTTGCTCATGGATGATACAAAGGTTTAGCATTATTCGTGAAATCTCTAGGCTTGAGCAATATTTTTTTGGCTAAAATATTGAGTTAGCTGTTTATAAAAATATATTATAAGAAAAACAAATATGATTTTAAAGATAAACCCGGTCGAAGGCCAGGCAAATGGGCGTTAAAGGGGGATCTGGGGGCGAAGCCCCCAGGCTTTTATATGTATGGATCCTTTATAATTTGTTCTAAAATTCAATGGTTAATGTTGACCAAAGAGAAAACCTATACGATATCAGCATGATATCTAAGATTTATTTTCAAACTTTGGTATAAAAGATTAAATATGGTTGATAATATTCCAAAGAATTTTATAGATGTTTCGCATAATTTCAAACACATTTTAAACTATCCCAAATATATTAAAACTATTAAATATTTTGACAACTCTGCCTAGCACTCCTACTAATGGAAAACATTTTCTCCCTAAACAAGAATAAAAACATAACTGGAAGTAGTATTTTAAAATGACTTGATTTGAGTCGATTTTTAAAATTGGTTTACTCAATATTGTAGCCAGAGAAATATCGTGTCCAACTTTTGTGCCATATTGGAACAAAATCTTCTGGCTTGCGTAATATATTTCTGAATAATATATTGAGTTAACCGTTTTTAAAAATTGGCCCAAATCAAATCGTTTAACAACACTACTGAGAGGTTCTACATCAGATTGAAAGGATTAGCCAGCTTAGTTCCAAGAAGATTTATTCTACAATATGAATATATAATATCTTTTTAATAATATTTTTTCTCATTTTTAATACTCCATATTTTTTTTCATGAATACTTTATAAATTTATATACATGCAATAATTATTAGGAACATTTTTGAGCATATCTATATTTCCAACATTTTTTAAAAAATATAATTTAAATCTATACATCAAATTTTATATGCTTAAAAAAAGTTCTTTTTAGAGACACAAGATTCATATGCCGATTATATATATATATTTAATTGACATATTGTAAAAAATTTTCTATTTTTAACTGTCTTAATATATTTTTTACTTCAGTTTATATATCTTTTACAAATTAATCTAAAGAAATAAATAATCATCACACACAATTAACAATATATTTGTATACAATTAATCATATTATTAATTGCCTTTGAGGTTAATTGATTCTATTAAATCTATTTTCTCCTTTCTCGATAGGGTATAAATTGTTTTCTTATCCGTTTTGAATAACGGCTACTTGTGCTTTCGTTCTCTCCCACGGGTTGATCTGAACTCGATTTCAATCTTATCCTTTATGATGGTATCTTTGGTTATTGAGTCTTGTATCGGATATATGTCTACGGTCATCGAGTCGTGTATAGGATCAATGTCTTTGTAGTGATAATAATAATGATAGCAACATTGATGATCTTAAAATTTTACTTTTAGATAGAGGGAAAAAAATCAAATTATCATCAGATAGAAAGGAGTATCAAAAAATGCCTATTGCATCTTTAATAGTAAAGTTCTCAGAAGTTAAGAGAATAAATAAGGATATAAATATTTTAAAATTATGGGAAGAAAATTCTTCAATATATCCAGAATTATATATCTTATCTAGAATCTTCATGGCTGTACCGGCGACACAAATACAATAATTTTATAAAGATAACTATCTATTTTAGGTAAGGGTAGAACGTGAATTTTCATTTTTGAAATATATATTGTCTACTTTACGTGGAAATCTCAAGGATGATATTTTAGAAGATATTATGATTGTGCGATAATAAAACAT